TTTTTATTGTTAGCAAAACTATAGAATTTATACTTTTAAACACTAAAGACCAAATTTAAAAAAAAAAATATGGGATTGGATCATTGTACGATCTATTTTAGCTACGATCTTGCTACAAAATTGATCCTACTGTGATCTAGATTATCTTATTGATTAAAAAGATCAAGATCTCTATCTTAACAATACTCCTTTCAAGTTATTTCTTCAATGTAAAACATTAACATATACTATATTTATTAGGGTAGATTATGATGATTTCATGGTTTGTTTTTTATATTTATGGTCAAATAGTTTCATTTTTAATGCTAGTAAAACTAGATCAAATCTCAGTTAATATTGTTTTTCATCATCAGGTTCACGAAAGTAATGCTTGACAAAAATAGTTGACATAATGGTTTCTAGTAAAGTACCAAACCAAATTCAGTAATACAACGGAAAATAAATGATTGTCCAAAAGGAAAAGACTCTGTTGACAAATATATTCAATTTTGATGGAAGAATCAACTAGATTTATTGATTTAAAATTTAATTCAGAGATGAATGTTGCTTCCATAATTCTAGTATTTACGGCTCATTTTCCAAATGATAACAATATAATTGCAATTGTTGTAACTTCGATCTCGTAGTACAAACTTTTGTTTTATGGATGGTATTTTTCCAAAACTAATAAGCCATTGAAGACCTTATCTTAGAAATAGACCTAATCGTAGTACAAACTTTTGCTTTATGGCTCATTTTCCAAATGATAACAATATAATTTCTTTGTAGATAAGCAGAAAATTGAGTTCCTTTACGCATTGTTCCCGAGTTCTACTTAAGGAGGGATATGGATGGATACGGAGGGAAAGTGAGGGATGTCGAAGGAAAATTGTGTTCCCGAGTTTCATTAATGGAAAGAAAGTGAGGGGAGACAAAGGATTTTGGAGGCATATTTTCCTCCCAAATTGGGCGGATTTGGAAAGAAAGTGAGGGGAAGGAAAATTTTAAGTTTTTTTTTTTTTTTTTTTTCTCCTGACTCAGGAACACCAAAACTTAAAATTTTCCTTTTATTTCCTTTCATTTCCTTCGGGAACACGGAATAATGACCATAGTTAAGTTTTGTTTTATTGATTTATGTTCAAATTCTGATACTATTCGGCCCGTGTGACTATGAAGGTTTGTCTGTAGTGACTCCAAAACATGAGACATAGCCTCATGTTTGCAGCAGATGATTATGTGGACCCTACACTGACCCTCCTTGGATATATGGTTAACCCGCTAATAAAAAACTGACATACCTATCATCTTTTGATCTCTCGATATTTCTTTATCACACATGGCTGATGAAATCAAACCCGACCAAGAGGCGGTGGTCTGTTTAGAGTTTGATAATGTTCATAATTAGAAAAATAGTAAAACAATCATTTACATGTCTGAAAAGTCTAAACTAAATGGTCTCCGTTTCAAAAGGCCAAAAGATAATAAACCTAATGATTTTATAAAAATGAAACTATAAATCTGTATTGGTAAAAGTCAAAAAACCATGCAAACAAAAAATGTAGATCTCAAAATTTTATTAGAAAATGTAACATTTTGTAGAAGAAAATATAACTATGTTTCAAGAAGCCAATTTAAAAAAACAAAACAAAAATGTGAATCTCAAACTTTTGTTAGAAGATGTAACATTTTGATTAACGTTAGCTTCAATATTCACAAAAGAGACAAAGGAATATTATATTTATGAATTATGACAAACCAACCTACTATACTATTCATGCAGAGGAATTGGCATTTTGCAATTCGCAGTTTTGGAAGCTTGAGAATCCATGCTACGTTACACATTTGATCATCGGTTTAGTGGTACCAGTCCATGACTAATTGTTCATAAACCATAACGTATATCAGGATTTTGTTTTGGAAGATGCTACACTACTGTAAACCTAGAAGAGGGGGTGTACCATCGTAAACGAACGGATTTCTGAGATTGGATGTGTGATGTGTGAGGGTTGATTCATTGATTCAACAATGTCTACGAACCATGACCGGTCGGAATCACAAAACGGCGACTCGGAACACAATCCAGATCCCAAATCTCCTCCACACGAAGACGCTGCGATCCAATCGACGGACGGACCATCACCTGGCAACGATGTGGATCGCCCTTCGAAGCTCGACCAAATCATTACGTCCAATGATACTGATATCGATTCGACCAATGTTGATCCGGATCCGGAACTGGAACCGGAACCCCCAAAAGAACCAACACCTACTGTGCTACCGAAAGACCAAATCATTCCGTCCAATGATACTGATATGGATTCCACCAATGTTGATCCGGAACCGGAACCGGAACCCCCAAAAGAACCAAAGCTTACTGTGCTACCGAAAGATGAAGCGAAACCGTCTGTCGCTATGAGAGAATTGTTGGGTGAACTGAAGAATGTCGATGTCAATGAAGATTCTCCATCGGCTGCAGTTGCCACGCCTTCTCGTAGGTCAGACATTTGGTTTTTACAGTTGTGTAATATGTAATTTCAATGAAATTCCTGTATAATAACAAATCAACTCATGTAAAAACCTAATTCTTCATTACTTTCCCTTTTGCATGCACTCAACCTGCTTCACTTCAGTCAAGATAACAAACAACCTAAAGGACGAAATAGTGCTGCCATGGCCTTGATTAATAGTATCTCGAGTTCTGATGAAGAAGGAAGGACAAGGCAACGAATGCTTAAGTTTGCTGCAAAGAGGTGTAGCCATGTTATCCATACCTCACCACTTCGTCTTTGTATTCTTGAGTGTGTTTTTCATATAAAGATTGCCATATTTTCAGGTACGCTAGTGCAATAGAGAGCAATCCAGATGATTATGATGCACTTTATAATTGGGCATTGGTTCTTCAGGTCTGTTTCTGTGTGGCTAAATAACATTCATATCGCTGTTTGTAATTGGGCACTGGTTCTTCATGTGATTACAGGAAAGTGCAGATAATGTTAATGCCGATACTAATTCACCTTCCAAAGATGCTTTACTTGAAGAAGCCTGCAAAAAGTATGCTGAAGCTATCAATTTAAACCCTGCCCTTCATGATGTGAGAAAAAACTTAATCTGATTTTGATTACAAATTTTCCTCTTAACATATGCTAATTTCTACCTGTTGTCCAACCACAGGCTTATTATAACTGGGCTATTGCCATATCTGATAGAGCCAAACTCCATGGACGTACAAAAGAAGCTGAAGAACTATGGAAACAAGCAACAAAGAATTATGAAATAGCTGTCAAACTAAACTGGAACAGTCCACAGGTAACTTCAAAAAAGAAATGTAGCTCTATTTCATTTGTAAATTCCCTGCTTCTTGTTTATGACTTTGTGATGAAATTAAATTCAGGCTCTTAACAACTGGGGACTTGCTTTACAGGTGCTTCATTTTGAAACTTTCTAATATAGTCCTAAACATTTTATATGTTTTATTTATGTATATTGATTGACATCAATAATGAGTGTCACAGGAGCTGAGTGCAATTGTTCCTGCTCGTGAAAAACAGACTATAGTAAGAAGTGCAATCAGTAAGGTAAACAGATATTATAAAAAGTAAAAACTTCACCTTTTTCTTATAATTTTTCACCATGAATGGCTTATTATTAACCACATTTATTACCACCTATGAAGTTTCGTGCAGCAATACAGTTGCAATTTGACTTCCACAGAGCAATTTACAACCTTGGCACTGTTCTGGTCAGTTAGTTTGTGGAATTTCTTTCCCAATTTAATAATATCATCTTATACTATTTATGAAATTTGATATATTTGTCATGAATAATCTTGTTTTGTTGCAGTATGGATTAGCAGAAGACACATCAAGAACTGGAGTACCAGTTGTTGGAAATGAGATTCCTTTCAATGAATTATACAGTCAATCTGCTATCTATATAGCTGCTGCTCATGCATTGAAACCAAATTACTCAGTGAGTATACTGTATACCTTCTTCCATTGTTTCATGTAGAAATTTCAAAATTGTTTAAATGACCTTTTCGTCCATCTTATGCATTCAGGTTTACTCCAGTGCCTTGAAGCTTGTCCGGACTATGGTAAGTATTATTCATTAACATTTCCATAAAATTAAATGATAATTCATTTTTTGTACTTTGTTTTTTGCAGCTTCCTTTACCTTATTTAAAGGTGGGTTATCTTACATCCCCACCAGTGGGGAATCCAGTTGCACCACATTGTGATTGGAAAAGATCTAAGTTTGTTTTGAACCATGAAGCACTTCAACAGGTATATGATTCTATTCTTTTTCTGTTGATGTTAATTAAGTGTAATGATTCTTACTTTTCAATTATTGTAGATTCATGATGATCAACAAAAACAAATATCTGGAGATAGAACAAGTATCCGAGTTGAAATTCTGAATATTGTTTCAGTAAAAGAGTGCTCAGATTTGACTTTACCACTTGGTCCTTCCTTCTCCATTGATACAATTCATGGACCATTCTTCTTGGTACTTCCCATCTTCTCTCTTTCTAATTTTAATCAACAATTTAAAATATTTAATTAATTAGTTAATCAATCATATGCTCTTTCTTTTCTCATCAGATTGCAGACTCACGCGAATACATGGACACATGGCTGGATGCTATTCGCCTAGTCTACACAATATTCGCCCGGGGTAAAACCGATGTTCTAGCTGGGATAATAACAGGATAGAATCCTATTTCACTTGATATTCTTTAATTCTTTCGCCTTTTTTCTTTGTATAAAAATTCAATCATTATAGAATAAACTCCAACTCAGCATTATTCAACACATCAACTATGGTTAACAAACATTACTAGTTTACTACTTACTACTCTTTCCCAAAACTAATCACAAAATTTATAAATCTAAGAAGAAAAAAACTTCATACAAATAGGAGGCCTAATTTTGGCCAATGCAAGAACCGAAGCCGGTAGGGACCACATACCTTCACCACAGATCAAACCAGAAGCAACCGCAGGCACCATTGAATCCGCCTTTTTAGCATTCACCTTGTGCCACATAAACACAATCAAACTCCCAATACACATATCAATAGCAAAATACCCACCTACCAAAAAAAGGAACAGCCATACATATAGGCAATGGCATCCATTTCCCTATCTTTTTAGGCAACATATCTTTAATCATATTAATCAACACAGCAAACGCGAAAAAACCATAACAAAGGTCCAAACAATGTTTAGGTAAAGCCGAAAAACCTTGCACCCCAAGAATCGCCAAGTTTCTGTAGATTATCGCGTATGGTGCTTTGTATTCTCCATCAGGGTTTCCAATATCAAAAGCTTTGTAGAACAAAAAGAAGCTCAATGGTGACACCATGCACCCTATAGCTGTCCCGATTGCTTGACTCACAAGCATCGTTCTTGGAGAAGTCAACGTGAGTTGACCGGTTTTCAAGTCGTGCATCAGTATGCAAGAAACCGAAACCACCGATTTCACCAGCCCACATCCCGCCATTCCCGCCACCACCCCGTCCTCTTTTCCCGCCATTGCCGCCATCATGAAAAGCCCGATTTTCCCGTAATTGTATGCCATGTTGATGTCGGTCAACCCGGCTCCATACGCGTTACAGAAGGCTAAAGATGGAGCAAATATGTAGGAGATGATGACATAGTACCATTTAACTTCGGGAAACATGTATGGGATTGCAATCACAGCAATTATAGCTAAAGTTATGTATCCGATTGCTCCTATTGACATGGGAATGTTTTCTCTTAAGAAAACCTCGTTTTGTTTTAGCTCAATTTCACTCACCTTCTTCTCGATAACTGGATTGAGGCTTTTGTTCTTGAATCTTCCATGTACGCTCATGGATGTGATGTATAGTATCTTGACGAAGTTGTATAGACCATCTCCTAGGATTAGAGCAATGGAAATAAAGGCCTTGTAGCCATTGAGACTCTTCATGCTGCTTTCAGGTAAACCATCAGGATACCAGTCTCCTTTGTTTTTTCCAATTAAGGGCCACATTATACCCCATGAAACCACAGCTCCAATTAGCAATGACAAGTTCACAATGTGAGGACAAATCATTCCGGTTCCCACATAAGTCATACTAAAGTCAAAGTAAAACCTACAACCAAATTCAAACAAACCCACCCGATTAATCAGAATCAAAAACTGTGGATGAAAAAGAAAAAAAAGTTGAAGTAAATAAGAACAGACATACGTGTTCTTCCAAGCTTTTAATCCGAATGTAGGAAACTGAACAAATCCGCATTCTTCTTCTTTTTCCTGTAAAGAACCACTGAAAAAAACCCCATAGAAAGCTTGCAGAAAAGTACTTTGCAAATCCCTTCACTTGCTTCCTACAATCCAAAGAAAGAAATCATGAGTTTTTTTGACATATGTCTAGTTTGAAAAGAAATGGGTTAAATATAAAAATACAAAAAAATACTTTGCCATATCATCTCCTTGAGTATGAAATCCATTAATAAGAACCGCAGTCGCCATCCCACTTGGAAACACCAACTTATAGTCCACAATTAAAACCTGCAACCAACCAAACCAAACCATTAAGCAGTCATGAAATATATATATATATATATATATTTATATAATAAAATCAGAAGACAGGAAAAGAGATAGATAGATAGATGTACCTTGCGTAGTGGGATCAATACAAAAAGACCAATAAAACAGACCAAGAAAGAATAGCCCATCATCCAACCAACACCAGGTTCTTTATATGTCCCTGGAGAATTCACACCTCCAGCCATCTCATATGTTTTCTTGTTTAATCCCAGTAAATAAGATCCATATCCACCTACACAATCATCAAAAACCCATAATTAATTTAAGAAAAAAAAGATGTTGTTGATGATGGATGATATTGAATTGAATTGAATTGAATTTCACCTCCAATAGCAATGCTGTAACAGGCAACGGAACATGTCTGAATCATGGTGTTCTCATGTCTAGTAAAGGGAACAGATGAAATCCCTGATTTCTGAAGCATCTTTGTCCAAGTCCTCATGAACACAAAAGCAAGAAGTGCAGCCGAGACATTCATATTAGGTGTCATTCCAGTTGTCAGATTCAATTTCATTGCTATGATACTGTAAATACTCCCTATAATACAACTCGCCACAATCCCACGAACCGTAATCTGCTTTGTCCATGGTTGCAGCCTCCCTGAACCACCCTCCTCCACACCATCACCATCATCTTTCTTCTCATCTTCCATTTCACCCTCTTTTCTCTCCCTCAATCTCCCCATTCATCATGGATCCTACATCAACATTTCATCATTAACTAATTAAACAACATAAAAACAAACAATCCAAATTGCAAATATATGTGTATGATCTCCCTCACCTTTTATATCGGGTACCATTGAAGAAGCACACTCTTTGATCTTACTTATACTTGTATATATATTTATATATATATTCCTTCCAATATAATCGAATACAAGTTTGGATATGAAACTATGAATGTCTTGCGTTTTCTTTCTCCATCCGACAAGTATAACAATAGAGTCTACTGCTATTGTGCTTACAAACACAACTAGTATTTGAAGGATGTTACTTTGCACTTTACCACCCTCTACTTCCATTTAACTCTAAATTTTGGATGTCACATTTTGTCATTCGTATTCGGTTGAAAACGAGACCAGTAATTCAGAAGGTTACGTTTTTAATTTAGCATCTTATACCTTTTTGTTTGAAATGACATTAAATAGTTTTTTCGTTGAGACTGATCTAAAATTTGAGTATTTTAGTTGTTTAAAGGACATGAGATGTTTCGTTAAGTTTGGACTCGTTATGAAACCCAGTATAAGTGCGAGGGGTTAATGTGCAATAAGAGTTTTCTTCGAATTTGATTTCTTAGATATTTATTCTGTTATTATTCTAAAGAAAATTATTGGTTCAGTATACTATTTTGCATACGTCGTTCTCTCTTTGTTGATAGAAATCATTAACAAACACAACGTCTAACTTGACATGTAATGCTCTTTAAAGATTCAACTAACAATCAAATATTAAGAAAAAAACATATGGACCACAATGAATTTTATTATTTTCTGACATATGATGGTTGTTGATGAAGAATTATATAAATATAGAGCAAACATACTTTTTGAAGTTGAACAAAATAAAAGGAAAATATGTGCAGGTAATGGAATTTAGAAAAAAATAATAATAAAAAAATGAATAGAAAAAGTGAAAAGACCCATGGAGAATGGTGACCTCACAATCGGTTGATGGTGAATGGTAAGGAGTGGGGAAAATTGATCCCGTTTTGTAAGGTTGTGATTTGGAGATGAAAAAAGCGTGTGGAACATTTACTCCTCTCTCATTGCCTCTCCACATCCTTCCCTATCACAATTTTATTCTCTTAAATCTCTTTATATCATTTAAGAAATAAAAAATTATAAACCAAATCATCTAACCAGCTTAGATTAACCCATCTCAAAACCCATATGTACACTAAATCATGCAACGCTCATAATATTTTGGGCATATTTTGGTTTGAAGTTTGAATCATAAACATGTTTCAACATATATCATTATACTGTGTAATATTGTAGATTTTTGGATTATCTATTTTGTCCATGTTTTATTTATGTTTGTTACTTAATGGGATATGGGCGTCGGGCGTCAGCCCACATAAAACCAAGCCGGCTAAGAAACCCGATTTGATGAAAAACCATAAACAAATAAACGTGGGTCGGTAGTCAACCCACCAAGATGTACCGACCACATACACCAATAATTGTCCTATCTCCTGGACATAACATATAAAACAATATCCTAGGAAACACGGAAAAGACAACCTTATTTTATTGCAAGGGTCTTACCCTTACAACCTTATGACCAAAGCAAGGTCCAAAAGAAAAGACTATGGACTGGGTAAAACCCCAATTATAAAACGAACCTCGATCCCTCCGAAAGGGGTAAGCAATCTTTATCAATTTTACTTAAATCGTAATCCAAAGCATGACATCTAACTTAGGCATCAGAGAGCAATATCGGGGTCCCATCCTCGATATGACTTTCTAACCTAGCTTTGCTAATTCTGTGCAGCGTGACATCTGGAAGTCTATATAAGGGTAACCAGATACGCATTGGGGATATCACGTAGCAACATTGGCGTCATTCATATATAAACATGAAAGACAAGCAAACACTTCACGCCCTCTTCCCGATACACCTTTTAGCCCAATCAACCTAATCCCTGCCTTTACACCAACCATCACAACAACTTTGACCGCCAGAGCCCTCATGGCACCCTCATACAAACAACAAATACCACCTACTACTCAGCCAAACGTGCAACCTAAGGTAGAGGTAAACGATCAAACGACAGAAAAAACTAAGAAGGCTAGGCAGGAAATCTCAACGGCCAGTAGTTCAAGCACATTCGGGAGAAATATGTCTGGAAGACCTACAAGGCCAAACCCGAGAAACAATGACACAACAGTACAGACATAACCACCTTTGCTACAACAACACCTCACAAATACCACGATTACCCAACAAAACACACCACCATACATGTCATTACCGCCACCATTCCCATGCGCACATTACCAAGCATACTGGCCTCCCTAACATCAACTAACATATGCTTTACAACCCACACCAGGAGGACAATCAACGCCTCATCTGCAACAAACCACACAACTGGCAAACAACAATAGACAAAATAACACAAATGGAGATGCAAGCAGTAGACGGGTCTTGAGGTCAGACAACTCACATACGATAAGAAGCATACACGAGTACCAACTATCAGTCGAAATGAATATACCAGAAATTACGAAGAAGGATGGGACGGGAGATCCAACTGACCATATTGATAACTATAGATGGACAAAGGATGCTTACTATTTGGATGAAAAATATTGGTGTATATTCTTCCCAATTGCTTTATCATGCGCAACGCGATTATGGTACACAATTTTACCAGCGGAAAGCATACACGATTTCAATCAACTCAGGGAAGAATTCGTGGGACATTTCGTCCAACAAAGTAGATACACGGCATATGTACAAGCTATATTGGGATGTCGGCAAAGAGAGGGCGAATCTTTAAGTGCATTCGTTCGAAGGTTCAACAAAGCCACACTCAGCACACCTGAGAAAGCAGATAACATGGTGATCGACGCCTTTATATATGGGTTGTGCCCAGGAACCCTATTTAAGAAATTAATTGGTAAACCAGTCGCTGTCAAGAAAAGAAATTATGGAGAGAGTTCATCGGTACATGAAACAAGAAGAAGCAACATCCGAGAAATACAAAACCGACCATGGAGGAAAGGTTAACCGGACATCCTATGCTAGAGGCCACATATTGGAAAATACAAGACACCAAAGTATAAAGCAAGCCCGCTCAAATCGTTTCCCACACCCGCATCGGAATCCATTAATAGCTAGGCATGGCGCTCAAAACGAGATAGCCACGGTAAATGAAAACAAAAAGAACACAGGGGGAAAAGCTGGAGAGAAGATAGTAAAACAAGGATCACGGAAGATACTACGAGTTCCATGAGTTTACAGGGCATGACACCATTGAATGTACTATGTTACAACGGGAACTAGAAAACAAAATGAAATTAGGACAACTGACCGAACTGATCAAAAGTCTTCGATCTAAGCACTTAGAGAGTATAGCACCCATAGAACCAAAGGTAACGAATGCAAGGAAAAACGAAATATCCATGCTGCAAAACGTTGATCACGACGAAACAATTGGTGAATGGGAGAACTATAAGTTCACATTCGATGAATGGGATTACAATCACGATAACCATAGAGGGGATTCGCCAATCATAATTGGAGGATTGATGGGGAAGAACTACGTGAACAATATCTATGTTGACAGTGGGAGCTCCACAGACGTTATGTACAAGCATTTCTTCAAGCAATTACCAGGATACGTGCATAAAAAAGTAGAGCCGCCTAAAAATCACCTGATAAGTTTCACAAGCCATAATTCATAAATATATCCTCACCATATGACATCATCTTTGGAAGAATGGAAATGCATAAGTTTAAAGCAATAACATCGACAATTCATTGGGTAGTCAAGTTTCACACAGTGTCGGGCGTAGGTACAATACAAACTAAGAGGAGATTGGGGCAAATGGAACAAACTCAAAATGCACACAACTCCAACAACGACCTTAGAAACCTTGAAGCACTCAAAGAAAACATATCGACAATGAAGAGAGAGGGCAAAAATGCAAACCGAAACACACCACCCAAAGAGCAAGCATCTAGTAACGATGGCTCTACAGGAAACATGCGCTTGAAGTAAGATTACAACTATTAGTGGATAGAATTTTGTGGCATGTCACTAAAGATAGTGTGTTTGTTGTCGTTAAAAAATTCAAATGGACAATAAACATTATACCAACCACTACCTAGGAATTAAAGCAAGGAGGAGAAAAAGAACGAGGCGAGGTGGTGAGAATAAACGACAAGGCAATATTCCATCCCATAAACCCAAGCACGGCTGAGAACAACCAGATACCAACAGAAGAAAATGAGAAAACTCCACCTGCAGAAGGCAGTGAAAAAAGGTACAAAGGATCGCGACAATGTCACGGAAAAATGAATAACTTGAGTGAGATATATGGTACTAGTAAGACACAAAAATCTAAAACATCTAAGGAAACTAGAGTGAAGAAGAGGCCAACAATTGAGTTACCACAATGGGGAACCAAGAAGGCTCAAACAGAAAGGTTGAAAACAACACGACCCAAGACGAACTATGAGGGCAGACGTGGAAGGAAGAGAGGAAAGGATTATCCGACATTATTAGGCACGTCGAAGGATAGGCAAATGCAACAACCTATGAAGAGCATGTTGTAGGGAAAGCGGTTGCAACCGCCACCTTTATCTATGACTAAATCAAAGAAGAGGCAGTAAACACATTTTAAGAATATCTTTATTCTTTTAAAACATTGTATCTCGGTCATCCGACTACATTCATAAAGGTCGAGTAACATACACCGACCAAGGCTACCTGATTAGCCTAAGAATATCTTTATTCTTTTAAAACATTATAGCTCGGTCGGCCGAATACATTCATAAAGGTCGAGTACCACACTCCAACCAAGGCTACATGCTTAGCCTAATAAATATCTTTATTCTTTTAAAACATTATAGCTTGGTCAGCCTACTACATTCATAAAGGTCGAGTTCCATACTCCGACCAAGGCTACCTGCTTAGCCTAAGAATATCTTTATTCTTTTAAAACATTATAGCTTGGTCAGCCGACTACATTCATAAAGGTCGAGTTCCATACTCCGACCAAGGCTACCTGCTTAGCCTAAGAATATCTTTATTCTTTTAAAACATTGTAGCTTGGTCAGCCGACTACATTCATAAAGTTCGAGTGCCACACTCCAACCAAGGCTACCTGCTTAGCTTAAGAATATCTTTATTCTTTTAAAACATTGTAGCTCGGTTAATCGACTATATTCATAAAGGTCGAATACCACACTCCAACCAAGGCTACCTTCTTAGCCTAAGAACATATTTATTCTTTTAACCAAAGAATGCATTTTTT